GTGAGAAATGACTTATCGATCGACGTCGAATTGACGTCTATTTGACGATTTCGACGTCGATCAATAAGTCATTTCTCACTGGGATAGTGATTACGAGCTAAAATTTACAAGACAGTAGAGTAACTCGTTACTTTTATATAAAAGAAAAAAACCTTTACGTCTTAGTAAAAAAAAAACGACCTAAAATGTATTAATTTTATTAATGAATAAATTAAGTATAACTTATTTATTAATAAAATATTAAGAAATTTATAGAAAAAAAAGAATATTATAATAAGTTTATTGTGATATATCATATTAAGAGATATGTCCAGTGTAGCGGGTCTTAAAATATCAGTAAACAAATATCCTGTGTACCTCAAGTCAAATCTCTAGTAAAAATGAAAACATTTTTACGCGAAAAGCAAACGATATACAGGGTGTTCCGCGTAAGCCGCGGCCGGCGAAGAAAATGGAAGAACGCACACGTACACGGACGCACACACGGAGCTACTGATTTCAGTATGCCAAACGGCCCACCTCTCTGGCCTATAAAATAGGCCCGCGAGCAATCGTCCATTTTCTTCGCCGACCGTGGCGAACCGTATGTTCCGCCTGCCGTGTCGCCGCGCTCTGATATGCTCAACTATTTTAATTAATATCTCGAAATTTTACGTGGTTGTTTGAAAAATGGCCTATATAATTTTTGTTCACTTTTATTTGTTCTACTTAAATTTTTTTTTCGTACATCTTACGCGGGGCACCCTATATATTAGACGTCGATTGAACATCGAATAGACGTCTAGAGAGATTGTAAATAATCGACAAAATAAAATCCCGAAATTTTATCGAAATCCCTCTTTTAATGGTCAATATATTGTGAATAAATTGTAAAACATTAAAATTTACTCAAAATAGAAGAAATTACCATTTTTCTAGATGTGCATTTAGACTAGACGTAACTTAGACCTCTCCGACGTCGGTTAGATGTCGAATCGATGTCTGGGTTCTCGCTGAGAAACGATAACGTTTTCTACTTTTTGACGATCGCTTCTACATTATCAATGCTTATCAAGTTCGTCGCTCGTTCCAGCATCCCTTTAAGCCCGTATCAGACTACCGACTGCACTGGCCGACCCGACTGCCGACTACGACTGCCGACTCTCAATGGACCAATCACAGTGAAGCGCCGAGTCAGCGCCTCATTGTGATTGGTCCATTGAGAGTCGGCAGTAGGGTCAGCCTGTGCAGTC